TGGAGTATTTTGAAGAACAGAACACAGTATTTAATAAAATTAATCGATTAGTTGTTAACTAATCAATTTTTTCAAATTTGATTTGTAATATTACATACCTCTAGATCAATCTATTTATGATTACTGTGTGATCACTGAAGAATGTAAAGAATTTCTTTGGGTTTTAAAAAATTATTCTAGTATACCTCATCATATTAGTGCATTTCTTAGTGAAGAAATCATTAAGATTGTCAAAAATATAGGTCCAGAAAAAATAGCTATGATTGTGTCTGATAATGCAGCAAATATCTATATTACATAAAGAATACTTTGTGAGAAGTATCCTTATATTTTGGATATTAGATGTGTGGCACATTGTATTAATTTGATTACAGAAGACTTGTGTAAACATGAATTTGTAAGAAGCGCAGTTCAGAAAATCAGCATTATTCATAAATATTTACAAAATCATATGCTGCATACCAATTTTTAAAAGACACGATTAAAATCTTGAAAATTGAAGGTGGCAATTTAAAGGATTATACAAAAACATGTTGGTTTACAATGTGGGATTGTGTTAATTCAATTGTACAACTTGAATTTGCTTTTGTAAGGTAAGGTTTTTTTTAATATTTATTTATGTTGTATATCAAATTAATTATTTTTGCGCATGATTAAAATGATTATCTTTTGAATAGTCAACTTGAATCTTATAAAATTTGCAGGCAAATTTGCCTGCAAAATTGTTTAAAGAGATAGTCTGAAGCCAGGTTTTTAAAAATTGATTACTAATCGATTTTAAATTAAAATCATGTGAAACATAAATATTACAAGGTTTTAAACGATCTGTTTAAAGGATAATTTTATTTAGAAGTGCAGGCATATTTATATGATAAGGTCATAATTTAATTACCTCAATAAAAAACTAGCTAATTCATAGCTAGTAATAATACATTATTCTGTTATATCAACACCTCAAAAAATAAAAGAATTGTTTGATATATCTAGTTGTTGAGGCATTAATAAATTTTAAAAAATGTCATTATAGTCAAACATCGTATATCCAGATATCGATATAACCAGAGTAATATATAATATATCTGCATCTCTAATCCTGTTAAACTTGAATAAATTTGATAAGAAATTTAATTTGATACATGATATTGTATAGATTCTTTCAGAACATAAGAATGATCTTAAAACACAAGTTAAAGACATTCTTTGTGACCAAACATTTTATGACAACTGTCAGCTTATTACATCTATTCTTTATCCTCTTAAACTTTTGGTTAGATGTCTAGAATTGAGGACTTCTAATTTTGCTAATTGCTATATCCATTTAATCTTTAACAAATACAATTTTTAGTTTATTAAATCAAAATACAGTATTTAAAAATTAATGTATTAAGAAATTTAATTATTATTAGAATG